CAAATATTTAATTAGTTCCTAGCACATATGTCCTATAAATCTATGTGTATGTTTATTTCAATTTTTTCATAACTAGAGTTAGTGCGTAGATATTACCTCAACACTCTTCTTCCCAAACCAAGTTCCAATAAGACATTCCTCCTTATCATCTCCAGTGTATGTGTATTGAAAAATGTAGCAATCTCCGGTGTAAAGTTTTGATTGATCAGAAGATGAAAGAAGAGTCTTGCCATCGCCATTTACTCGCCAGACCTGTACAATCACCATCAAACTTCACTAAAATAAATTGGTTGACTGCAATGTAAAAATGTTAGTTCAAGGATGGACATCAAACTGTCAAAGATAGAGGGGTGTAGATCGATTGCATGATTTAGTTAGATGCCTTTGCATACATATAGGTAGTGTTTGGTTGCAAGGATGGGATGGGATGGGATGGGATGAACCCACTTTTAGGGGTGTTTGGTTGAGAGGTGAGTGGGACGGGATGGTCCCTGGAGAGGAATATTCCTCTCAGATCCAAGATGAAACGGTCCGCCAAAATCGGCCGGACCAATCCATCCCACTTCAATGGAGCCCACGGCTTTAGCTCCTGTAGCCTCCCGCTCGGCTCCGCCGCAGCGCCGCCGCCTCATCCGCGTCGACCTCCGCCTCCGCGACCGGCCGTCACCTCGTCCGCGACCGCCTCCACGACCGACCGCCGCCGCTCGTCGTCAGCTCCCACAGCCTCCCACTCAGCTCCGCCGCGGCACCGCCACGGCCACCCGTCCCTCCCCCGGCACCGCTCCCTCCCCCGGTGCCGCTCCGTCCTCCTCCGCCTGCTCCCTCCACCTCGCCTCGCCTCCACGACCGGCCGCCGCCTCGTCTGCGACTGACCGCCGTCGCTCGTCCACGTTCGCCTCCGCGACCGGCCGCCGTTGCTCGTCCGCGCCTCGTCGCCTCCGGGACCGGCCGCCGCTCGTCTGCGCCTCGCCTCGCCTCCACGACCGGTCGCCGCCTCGTCCGCGACCGCCTCCGCGGCCGACCGCCGTCACTAGTCCGCGCCTCGCCTCGCCTCTCCTCACCTCCACGACCAGTCGCCGCCTCGTCCGCAACATTGTCCATCCCATCCCATCTCAATCATTTTTACCAAACAAAAAACTATAACCATCCCATACCACAAACCAAACACACAACTGGAACCATCCCATCCTAAAAAACTGGGATTGGTCTAACCCATCCCACTTGGTCCCCAAACCAAACACACCTATAGTGTTTGTTGATTACCCTCTATTAATTTATTTTTGCATGAGTACATTGGCGTTTGAGAGGCTTCAGGTCTCAACTTCAAAACCTAGCTAGCACCCTAAATGATGTGTAGACAAACAAATTTAAAAGGATTGTTGCTCACAGCAATACAGATTCATAACAGCTATCGAAAAAAAACCTGTAAATGACCAGTGCAATCAATATAAGGTTGGGGTTCTTCTTCTTCAGGAGCAGCCTTCATCAATCCTTTAACATCCAATCCTTGACTTCTGAGTAGAGCTGTAGTAAGAATATACATGATGAATGTGTACATTTGATACTCTTTTAGCAATACTTCACGCTTGAACTAATGAGTCTGTAGGCAATCACCTGCCACTTTGCCTCGGCCATCCTCAGATGACAGCTTCAAATCAGGAGTAGGCGGCCACTTGTTAAATTTTGACTTGAACATGATTGTTTCGAATCCCTCAATCACTTTGATAACATTTGATCCTTTTCGGTTCTCATCAATGAGCAATTTCTGTAAATAAGTAAGAGAAACACACACAGCAAAGTGAAATGTGAAATGTGCCTGTGTTTTGGTCATAAGAATATATATATTTTTTAAAAAAGTCAGCATGGTATATCAGTAAGGTGGTACATTTGCTGAGTACTGGAATACATGCCAAATAGTTTTTTTTTTATTTGTAAGATGGAAATGAATGGACTTTTACAAAAGTTGTATTGCTGTAGCCAAGTTCTACCTTGATGTTCCCTTTTTGTTTCATAACACTATAATTGAATGGAGAGTACCAATGAAAAAAAAATCAGCTTCCAATAATCAGAACCTTCATACACATATGGCCAATAAGAAATTACCTCAGCAGCTTCACTTGCACCCTTTCTCACTTGCAAAGAAGTACCTCTGCCCATCCAAACATACATTTCAGCTCCACAGTCCAACAAGTAGCATTTGTTTGTCTCAAGTAACTCATGCTCCAAAGATTCAAAACTAATATGCTCCAGCGTTCCTTGGTTAAAACTGGGAGGAAGTAATAGAAATCACTAATTCAGTTTCATAAATTTTAAGAGAATTGATCTCAAAATAGCATCATTTGACTGCAAATTATTCTCATTCAAAACTAACACTTTCTTGATGCGGGTATTGGAATATTGATAGTGATTTGACTTGAGTATTACCATAGCAATTTGGTCACAGTTTCCTTATCATCCCCATTGTCCTCTGAAGATGTCTTCTTTGGGAGAGGAGCAAAACCACCAAACAAACCCCAAAATTCACCAGCTTCAGTATCGGCCATCAACTTTCCATCCTCTATGAGAGGAATCCAGATTGTCAAATGCTTTAAATGTGACTTTGAATATTCAAAGCAAAAGCACATAAACAAAAAAAAAAAAGCTTACCAACAGCTGCAACTTCGCACTTGCCCTCATGGAAAGTATCTTTGATATATTGCACAACTTCAAGAGCTTTTGCTCTCTCTTGAATGCATGAGTTAGAGCCATTGAACTGGAAAATTTTGTTCGCGGTATCCAAAATGAATATGTCCTCGTGATTAAGGGATGAACGAACAAAAGGAACCTGGTTTGTATGACAAGCAGCATAAGAATAAAAAACCCAGCAAGCCTTTGCATAAACAAAGGCAGTGATCAACTTCAATAGATTACCTCTTTAACATGAACAACATGCTTTCCTTGGCACACATATAAGCGGGTAACATGATCTTGCTGATTGACCTCTACATGATTGAACCCAGAAGCTACCCCTCCTGGCTGTGGCATGATGCATGGTCTAAAATAGGAGAGAAGCTTTTCAGTTTCACCGCCTTGTACTTCCCTGTACTGGACAGCACGCCCTCCAAGGGCAGCATCAAGCTCCACAGTTAGAATTGCAGCAGTTCCAGCTTCGTCCTTTCAAATATTAGGCATTTGTGTATTAATAGTTAGCTTGGGAGAGCTAAGTCAAGTGAGGTGCTGCCAGATTATTTGAGAGTCTACCTGACTAGTATCCTTTCCAAGCCAGTAGTGGAGATCATGGCGAAATGAACCATTTTTCAAGGCTGTCGTCTATAGGAAGAAAGATGAATATGAGGTTCAAAACACATGGTGCAGTAAGCATATAATGCATGAACAAACTTGAAGCCATATACTATACAAATTGTGGCATCAAGACGACAATGGTATGGTTAGTGAAGCATGTGGTTCACCAAAATGACTTAAGTATTGCATTATCTAGTGTGGTAAAAGATAAAGAAAGAAAATAGTTTATAATGTCATGTAATGTTTGTTTCAAGATGAATTACATCATCTATGTTTGCGATTATGCACCAATAATGTTGAAAAGGAATAACAAGGAATGAATACTACCATACCTTCAAGATGATATATGAATCACCCATGTAAAATTTTCCGTGTGAAGATGTTGGCACGGGAACAGGCTTGAAGTTTTCAATACGCCATACCTCCAAACCACTGTAAGGTAATTAAGGAGTACAATACATGTACAAAAGACTCCTCTGATCGACATAGTGGAGGGCTACAATTCTCATGGGGGTTGATGACCAAGTCTAACTTTGTGAGGATAAATCAGCAGCCCTTAACCTTAGTTTTATTTGACTGGTATTTACTTTAACTTCATCATTGTTTTTGTTTGGTTTAGTCACCCTATGATGCTATGGAACTACTTTTTCTTATAGATGCAATAGATTATAAATTCATGATAGCCTTTTGTTCCAGCTTTGCCTATTTTTTTAGACTATCCAGGAACAATTATGCTTAGCCTCTTGTGTTGGATGATTTTGTTGCCAAGAACAGTTAACAATCATTCCATCCATGATTACATATGTTGACATTTTTTGTGTGTGAGTCAGTAATAATCCTTTGGTCACAAAATGTATTTTCTGTGAGATCAAGTGTCCAAGCCATAATAAATATTGGAAATAGAATGCAGTGAGGATACTCCTTTTGTCCAACTCCACGGAAAGCCGGATCTACATCTTTCATAGAAATTGACATGCTTGATGTTGTGAAAGAGCCTTTCCTGATTTTGTCTCAAAACGACGCTAACATCATGCTGGAACTGCAAACAAGTTTTTTTTTTTAAGAAAAAGATGAATGATATGATCATAGTTCAAACATCACAATGGTCACCCAAACACCAACAAAAGCTCATTATGATATAGTTGGCAACAAATTACACCCGAGAACACAAAAGGATCATAGGAACATAAAAAATGTCATTGAATGAAAAATAAAAGAACACAAATGCAGATAGACCCTCTTACCTGAAGCCTGTGTGTTCTTGATGGCAATGAAATTTAGAAAATCCTTGTGGGGAGAGAAGCGACGACCCAGAGTCCGGAGAGAGGACAAGAGGGGAAAAGTAAAGGGCCATCCGCGCAAAACGGGTTAAGGCAAAGAAAAGGTAAATTTGTGAGTGCATGCACTTAGTGTGGTAAGCGGATGGGGAAGTGGGTTGTTTGTGGATTTGCTATATATAGCAGGGGCATGCGCCATTCATACTTTTACCTTTTCTTCCAAATGATGTTCAGACCTGCAAAATCACCCCCCCCCCCCCCATTATACATTGGAACTGCAAAAATTGTTGTAAATAGACTAATCCTAAAACTATCAAGACTAGGAAAATAGGTGCTAGTAGGATTCCTAAACTAGAATATGTCCTCATGAAAGATTGACAGTCAACTGATGGAATGGATAAGAACCAAAACTCTTGTCATGAGTTTTATCAACCTTTTCTCCTGTAATGAATTGTTTGTCACCATTATTTTCATATATTCATTACAGAATTAGTTTACTTCATTCTGGGCCCATGTTCTTGAGGTATCTCATGATACCCAACTGATCTGGGGCAGGAGGAGTGTCTGAGCATAACAAAAACTTTCAAAACAATAGAAAAGTTCCAAATGCTTTTGAAAATTTTCATTCAGACCGAAACACTCAAATCGAAAACCTTCAATTTTTTCTGAAACTTTCTGCTCTCTTTTTCCTCCTCGGGGCAAAGAATGAAACAATCTCAATATTCCAGTAAAATCTTCAAAAAAGGAATATTGATTCGGTACATTTCACGCACTTCTCACATGCATACCGAGCCACCTCTATCCTACTGCAACCCACACTCTTTTGGATAACCATCGGGGAACCTCTCGGGGTCGTTGCAGTAGTTGTAGATCATGTACTTGTCCTGGGCCTCCCTCAGCTGCTGCTGCTGCTTGACGTCGTCCAGCCCCCGGTCGAACCAGTCACTGCTGCTGGCCGGGCCCTGGCCGCATACCCACGCATAAGAGCTCGGCACGCAGCCGTCGGCGGTGTAGTTCCGGAAGTATGCCACGAAAGGCGCCTGCGACCAGTCGGTCTTGATGCGGCCACCCTCCGTCGCCCAGTCGTCGGCGTCCCACAGGCAGCCAAACAGCCTCATCGGCTGGTAGATCGGGAACGGCACGCCGGAGTCCAAGTGGTTCTTGAATTGCCGGATCGGCATGTTGTCAACCAGGATCCTGCAATTCACCGACTTTAGTGACACTGGCATACACATTTGGCTCAATGCTTTTTTACCGGTTCTAACGCAACAAGCCTATTTTTACACCATTAACATACTATCTTGAAATGCAGCTTACAGGATCTCGTCTGGGTTCCAGATGACGGAGTAGGTGTGGAAATCCTGGGTAGGATCAAACCAGAGCCGGTACTGCACCTCCCTGCCGCCTTCGCCGTTGGCAAAGATGTTGGTATGCAGGGTGTACGGTTGCCCGGTGACGTTGCCCAGGAACTCCAGGTCGATCTCGTCGTGGGTGTTCCAATCCTTCTCGGATATCAACTGCACCACGCAATGTATCACAAGCTACTCAAGAATGCAGAACTATATAACTGACGATTTGGCACATGCATGTCACTGTGCAGGTGCAGCTGCTGTTTCATGGTCACTTACGTATATCGTGGTGACGGTGCCGGCGGAGTCGTCGGCGACGAGCTTGATGTCCATGTCGATCCTTGCAAAGAGGTACGAGGTCTTGGACTTGAACGCCGACCCCATCTCGCGGTCTAGCGTCAGCGCAATTGTCTGGTCGCCATTGCTGTCGTTGAGCAGCTGCGTCTGGCCAAACAGTACCTCGAGCTGGTCCGTCATGAGCCCACCGCCGGTCACCGGCGTGGCGGCGGCGAGCAGCGCAGAAGCCAACAGGCAGGCTAGGAGGTGGTGCGCCCTAGCCGGCGCCATGGCTTCCGGCCGGTGGTGTAAACTGTGAAGTGAGTGAGTGAGTGATGTACTGCTGTGTGTGAGGGGCAGTGAGGCCATGGTCAAGTGCAGGCTATATGCAGAACAATAGCACCAGGGTCAAAAGACTTTCAGATCGATCTCATCGAACTCGGCGATGGATGCATTAGATATTTGGTTTCTTGGAAGATGTAAAGAAGTTTGGATTATGGGCTGGCTAGTGAAGACCTAGGCATAGAAAATGATGGAAGAGTATGTAGCTAAAGGTGAGCAGAGCTGGGAAAACAAGCAAGAAGTTGACCTGATTAAGTGTTCGTCACATGTCCATTACTCCAGTGGGAGAGCTGCGCCATGTATTTTTCAGAATTCTGTGTTTCGCATGGAGTGGTAACATAGGTTGGTTTACCCAATTTCTGATGGCCTAACTCTCAGAAGAAAAGGAATACCCGATAACCGAGAATTGTCGTGCTTTCTCCAATTATTAGTTCACATCTGTTGACATATTACGAACACAACTGCATATTTTGTCTTGATTTCATTGCAGAGTGCAATACTATTTTCACATTTCACCGTTTCAGTAGAGCATCACTAGCTCTAAGCCTCTGCCAAGCCTGCAATTGTTCTGAACACATGGATGCACTTACAATCCTAGAGATTAGAGAAGTACGGCCCCAGTATTTTTCATGCAGCTCAGTATAGCATTTAGCGTTGCTCATGTGCATACACTGTTCACCGTACAGACTTCTGTCTTCTTCAATCTCTGTGCGTACGTGCGCGTAATACTGAGGGCCGGCCTGTTTAGTACGAAAAAAAAATTGGTGTCACATCAGATGTCGGAAAGGGTTTTTGGACACGAATAAAAAAACTAATTTCATAACTCACATGTAAACCGCGAGACGGATTTTTGAAGCCTAATTAATATGTCATTAGTACATGTGGGTTACTGTAGCACGTATGGCTAAGTATGGACCAATTAGGCTTAAAGATTCGTCTCGCGATTTCCCCTCTAACTGTGCAATTAGTTTTTCTTCATTTATATTTAACTAGCATGGTGGCCCGCGCAGATTGCGTGGCTAATATCATTATATTTTCTCTCATATAAAAGCATATAGTATGTTTTCTCATTATATTATTTAAATATATTAAAATGACAACATAATTTTAAATTTTGCAATAACTTTACAAAACTACTAATGTGTAATATTCATATTGTATTTTATATACGTGTTAGTTATTAATTATTTTTAATATCAAATTTTAGTTATTTGTAAATTATATATATTGACTCATTTTTTAGTATTTCTTTTTTTTTTGAATTCCAAATTTTCTATAAATTGTATTTCTATATAGATTCTATGCTCTTCTTCCAATATTATTTATTTTTATTTCTGAATTTTTATTATTTCTAATTGTATTTCTATGTAGACTCTAGACTAATTTTTAATTTCGAATTTCAGTTACTTCTAAATTGCATTCCTATATTGATTTTAAACTCTTCTTCCCATGTTTTTCTTAATTTCGAATTTTTGTTATTTGTAAATTGTATTTTTATATGGACTCTAAACTCTACTTTTGATTTTATTATGTTTATTCTAAATTTTAGTTAGTTTTAAATTCCTATATGGACTCTATACTCTACTTCTAATATTCCTTATTTTCTTAATTCTGAATTTCTATTTTCTTTCTTAATTGTATTTCTATATGGACTCTATACTCTACTTCTAATATTCCTTATTTTTAATTCCGAATTTCAGTTATTTCCTAATTGTATTTCTATATGGACTCTATTCTCTACTTCTAATATTCCTTATTTTTAATTCCGAATTTCAGTTATTTCCTAATTGTATTTCTATATTGACTCTATACTCTACTTCTAATATTCCTTATTTTTAATTCTGAATTTCAGTTATTTCATAATTGTATTTCTATATGGACTCTAGTCTCCTCTTCTAATATTCCTTATTTTTTAATTCCGAATTTCAACTATTTCTAAATTGTATTTCTATATGGACTCTGTATTTTCTTTTTCTCTAATTAATGTGAGAAATTCTAGACCATGAGAGCGAACGTGGAGGCTCTTTTTTCTATTCCTTTAATAATATAATAAATAAATGCTTCATGTATATATCTAAAGATTCGATGTGATATTTTTAGAAAACTAAACCAGGCCTGACTTTGCATTGACTGCAAACTTGGATCGACGACTCGATCTCACAATCACGCCTGCAGCATGACGGTAACATGTTTTTAGCCCTGTGCTGCAGTTAAAAAAAGAAGGGCACGCGAGAGCCATGAGCTGCACCGAGCGTGCAAAAGCATGTGGAAGTGTACGCGTTGCACGGCGTCCATCAGTTTCCACGCAGCCTGAAATTCTGTGGTGGTTGTTCCGTTCCGCCGGCATCATGTAGCAACAACGGCGAGGCCGATGCATGATCAACCCGAGCCATTTATTTCGGCTTTTCCATATGTCCAGGCACATGAGCGTTGCTGGGACCGAGGACCGATGGAATCTGCTCGGCCGGAGCATTGCACGGGAACGAGATCGTAACACGTGGGTCCCACTAGCTCTAGGGCCTATATGGTAGTGACTACTTCCTCCGTTTCAGGTTAACACTTTCATATCTATAACTAATATAAATATTTGGATTTTTTTAATCGTCACCAAAATTTTCGGGTCCGCCAATCCGTTTACGCCACGCTGCGTGAGTAACTTTCCTATTTTTTACGTTTTCGTCCACAAGTGACGCCCTCCGCCCAAGTGACGCCCTCCGCCCTCGCATGTATCACACGACGAACAAAGAACAAAATCGCTCAATCCGAAATCGGAAACAAAATCCAAATCAAAACCCAATCACTACCCTACTACAAAAATAGACATTATTGCCGGTTGGGAACCGGTCTTTGGTGGTGATATGATTTGCAAAAGAAAAAAAAAGCAGGCTCGGCTCAAACGCTCCAAATCCATAGAAAATAAATAGAAAAGAGAGAAAAAGAATCACAAAGTTCATAAAACAAATGGATGATTCCAACAAAACAAATCACATAATATACACATTAAATAATCGATCACACATCACATAATCAATATTACAAAATTTATCACACGGATTTGGAAATTCAAGACCACTTGTGGCCGTTGCTCACCGTGGAGAATTCTGGCCACTCGCTACCCTGCAGACAACCGCTTCCGACGACATTAGAGGTATAGAGGATGGGGGAAGGGAGAAGATGAGGGGGGAAACTGACCTTTGGCATCGGTGTCGGGGATGACGCGTGCCTGGTGTTGTGATGGAGACAAGGAAGAGGCGGCTCCAGATCTGTGGAGGCCGCACCATCATGTCGCCGGGGAGTGGTGAGCCGTTGGTTTCACCGCAGGGGAGAGACGAGTCGGGGAGTAGAGAAGGCGAGCCGCCGTCGCTGAGGAGTGACGAGCTGGGGAATGGAGAAGATGCGCCGCCGTCGCGGGGAGAGAAAGCGTGCAGCCGTCGTGAGGAGTGAAGAAGGCGCGGAGAGGGAGAAGGTGCGCCGCCATTGCTGGGAGTGGTGAGAAAAGAAGTGGAGAAGGCATGCCGCCGTCGCTGGGAGTGGAGAAAGCGAACGAGAGACGGGGAGACGGAGGATTCCAGAGAAGGAGAATCACGAGGAGATAATGTTCGAGAGGTGGGGTCCACGCTGGATATTTTTCTTTGCTGTGCGGCGCTCCAAAGACCAGCACATTTGTTGGTTTCGTTTTTTTTTTAAGAAAACCAGCGCATATAACATGCCCTTCGGTTTACTTCAAACAAGCTCTCTCTTGTTTGGAAGGGTAGCTAGCTTAGCTTCTTGCCTAGCGATCGATGGCAGAAGGTGAGGTCGGATTTGTCATCTAGCCATCCAATCTTAACTAATTAAAATATTCATAATTTTTCTTTCATCACAGTTTATTTTGTCCGTCCGCGCGATTTTTTCACAATCCGATTTAGTCCGTCCGCGTGATTTTTCTTTGCCCACGCAATTTTCCCGCTTTGCCAAAAAAAAAATCAACCACTCTTTGCCCCCAAAATCAACCACAATCAACACAAAATCACATAATAATCATCCAAGAACATCAAACATCACATTATTCACATTCACATCCAAGAACAACAACAACAACATAATCACATAACTTTCACTCCCCTACCGCGGAATGCCGCCGGATCTGCCATCAGCCGCCGCCGAATCCACTCGTGGCCGTCATCGATGCCACCATAGCTAACTGCCGCCGGATCCACCCTCGGCCGCCGCCGGATCCACCAGCGGCCGTTGTTGACACCACCACCGCCGACTGCCGCCGGATCCACCCTCGACTGGCACCACGCTGCCAAATCCACCCGCGACCGTCGCCGACGCCACCACCGCCGCCAGATCCACTCGCGGCTGCCGCCGGATCTGCCGCTGGAGGGAGACAAGAGGGGGCAGAGGGAGCCGCTGCTGCCGGATCTGCCCGCGGCCGCCGCCACCACGCCAGATCTGGTGCGGGAGGGAGGCAAGAGAGGGTGGAGAGAGCCACCGCCACCACCCTGGATTCGCCCGCGACCACCTCCAACCCTCTACCACCGCCGTTGTATCCACTACGGGAGGGAGGCGAGAGGGAGAGGAGGAGAAACTAGGGTTTTCGCCGACAGCCGAGAGGGATGGGGTTTTGTCCATCCGACGTCAGCACCCGGCTGTCCGATCGAAACCCTACGATCGGACAACCGACACCGGCCCAAGTGGAGGCGCGCACAGGGTGGCTTCCCCGGCCCAGGCCCAGGTTGTGGCCCAGGGTGGGGGGAGCGCCCGCACGTGCGTATAAGAGGTCGTGGGCTGACCGGCCAGGCCGGGAAAAAGTATGTTCTAGGTCCCTCGACCAAAGAAAAGAAGTTTAATTCTATATCTTAATCTTACCTAATTAAAAGATTCGTAACTTTCTCTTCATCACAAGACGGACGAAGGCCATAATTAAAAATAAGAAATATTGAAATAATAATAGCACAGACTCATAGTCATCGCTGTCGCAGAAGGCCAGACACGGCTGCTACCTACGGTGCTACGGTCGTCGATTGGTCTGAGGTTGCTCGCTGGCCAATCGTGCTGCTGAGCGACCCGGTAGATCTACCCATATCTTCAGAGTCCATGTTAACTTGGACCGTGTAAAGGTGGAAATCAAGCCGGCTTTGTCTTTTTTATCTCCCTTTCTTCGATTTTTTTTTTTTGAAAAATAATTTATTATGAGCTACTATATTTCTCTCTGTCATTTAAGACTTTTTCTAGCGAGCAAAAGTACCAAAGTAGTGTGGAAATAACTTTGGTTAAAAACAAATAGTTTTAGTTTTAGTCACCGTAGCGAAGCACGGGCATTTTGCTAGTTCATATAAATGTTAATGAATCTAGGCACACATATATGTCTAGATTCATTAACATATATATAAATATGGGCAATGCTCACTACTAGAAAAAGCATTTTTACAGGCGGCCAAAAGTATATTTTACTGGCACGGGGAAGGACCGACTGCAGCCCAACGACTGCGATTTTCGCAGTTGGGGCCATGGCTCGCCTGCGAAAATCCAATAAACAAACAAACAAAAATAGTGCCACACGCCTCGCCGCCGCCCCCACGTGCATCGCCGCCGCCCCGCGCGCGCCGTCGTCGCCGCCGCCGCCGTCGAGCCGTCCACGCTGCCGCCGGTGGAGGGAGGGAGGGGAGGGGAGGGATTGGAGAAGTGTTGAGGGAAATGAGTGGTGGGGAGGGGGTGGATGAGAAGATAAGACTTATATTTTTTTAGGGTAGGTACGATTTTTGCAATGCGAAAATGATTTTCACAAGCGTCGCTTAAGTGGTCTGCCTGTGAAAATATATTTATATTTTTCGCAGGGCGACAACGAACTTCACCTTGATTTATATTTTTGTAGGCGGTTATTTTGCTCCAAGAGTCATGTCCGCCTGCGAAAAAAAGACCCCCACGTTGGAAAAAATGCATTTTCTAGTAGTGGCTAGAAAGTTTTATAAATTGAAACGGAGATAGTATTGTAGATACTTTAGAGAAGTTGAGCCGCATTGCACACGATACATATGCAGTGCGTAGTCCTACACAGCTAGTCAGGATCCGTTCGTTTTTTATATACAGATTTTACATTGGTTTTTGTTAGCATATTTTTTAAATTGCTAAATAATATATTTCATGTAAAAATGTTCTATATAAACGTTTCTTTAAAATATTAATAAATATATTTTTTAAGTTTATAACAATTAATGCTTGAGTAATCGTGCGCTGAAAAATCTTTATCTTCATCGAAGTGGAACGGGTCCTTGGTCTACTGCCAGGAGATAATGCAGTCCAATTGTATCTAGGATTGGTAATCGACGAGATGGATTTCTTTTTTAGTTTCTAGATTTGTTTATGATAATGCATCTAAAGTGTAAATGATTGGATTAATCTGACTGAGTGTTGCTTCTGATGCTTGATGCTAGAAAAAGTAACTGAGAGAAGAGCGGAGATTGCTACTTAGCACACATGTGTATCTCTTAAAACTTTTCTCCGAAAACCTTAATTTAAAAAGTTTCTTTCTAAAAACTTCATATAAAAAACTTCCGCACGAAGTGTACACCCAAAACCCATGTTCGTTAGATAGTAATTTTGGAGATAAAAAATACACTGGTAGCGAGCTTGCGGCATACTCTGCCGACTTAGAGCAGACACGGTCGAGACAAAAAACTGTAAGAAGCGTAAACTCGACGATCATGTTCTGCACTGTTCTAATTTGGGATTTTGGATGGGCCACCGGCCGGCTGGGCCATATCCTACATGGGCTCGTAAGCTAGATGTCCTGCCTGGTCCACAGGAAACGCGTTGGGGCAGCCAAGTCTGAGCTGTGCTCTGTATTTCGGCCTGACCTGCCGTAACGCCGTTCACTGGGATGCTCTGTTTGAGTGTTTCTACAATTCTGCTCTGATCGAAACGCAAGTAACAGCAGCAATTGAGGCATCATCTCCATTAGTCTCCTGCGTGTTTCGATCCAGGCTGTTGAGTTTTCATTGCCGATATAATTCAGACCCTTCTGACGTCATAACGTCTTACGAAACATGAGCCCGTTTTACTCGTATGAGTTGGCAGAATTGCAAGCACGTAAAGTCACTACCTCTTCCTCTCTTAGCAAGAAACAGCTTGGGTGCTCGAGTCGATGTTTCCTGAAGAAACGGACGATTCCATACATCGACAAACCACTCTGCACTCCATGCTCTGTAGGTGTACGTGCACGTATGATTTCAATCGGACGAACTGCTAAAAATTGCAATGCAAACATATTTTTTCTTTCACACTCCATTCTTTAAATCTTTCGTGCATACATATACATATATATATATATATATATATATATATATATATATATCTACTTTACATAGAAAGAATGAATCAATTCAATCAAGAGAAGTAAAAATAAAAAAACGAGGTCAATGCGTGCCCTGCGTGAGTTCGATCGAGTCCGCGTTCATCAAAGTGCACCGAGGCTTTGGCGCGTCTCCACTCCACTCTACGGCATGGAGCACTCGGGCGGGAAGCCCTGCGGGAACCGCTTGCTGTCGGCGCAGTAGTCGTACACCATGTAGTTGTCGCGCGCCCACTTCATCGCCTGCTGCGCCGTGGCGTCCATCTGCTGGTCGTACCCTGCCGGCGACGACGACGACGCGGCTTCCGTGGCGGTGAAGTTGCGGTACCGCGCGACGAACGGCGCCTGCGACCAGTCCGTCTTGACGCGCCCGCCCTGCGTGGCCCAGTCGTCGGCGTTCCACAGGCTCCCGTACAGCCGCATCCGCTGCGACGACGGGTAGGCGATCCCCTTGTCCGCGTGGTTCTTCATCTCCCGGATCGGCGTCCCGTCCACCAGCACACTGCGATAAACGTATACATTATTTGTCAGCTCGATCGGCATCCATGGCGGCGAGCGAGTGAGTGATTATAAACTGAGAATGTGCATTTGGTTGATGAGTGAATTGCATGAGCTTACAGGATGTGCTGCGAGGTCCAGACGATGGAGTAGGTGTGGAAGTCGGTGGTGGGGTCGAACCAGAGGTGGAACTGCTGCTCTTTGCCGCCGGTGCCATTGGCGAAGACGTTGGTGTGCAGCGTGTACGGCTGCCCGGTGACGTTGCCGAGGAACTCCAGGTCCACCTCATCGTGGATATCCCACTCCCCTTCCGACATGAACTGCATGGAATCCACCGTACGTGAGCTCGAACACGAGCCAAGAAAAAAAAAAGATCCGATCACACAAAGAATGTGTCAGTGCGAGTGCTGGCTTACGTAGCAGGTGGTGACCGTGCCGGCGGAGTTGTTGGCGACGAGCTTGATCTGCAGGTCGACGCGCGCGAACAGGTACGTGTTCTTGGACCTCCACCCGGAGCCGGAGGTGTGGTCGAGCGACAGCGCCATCACCTGCCCGTCCGGCGAGACGCTCCCCCGGCCGTCGCCCCACATCACCTCCAGCCCCTCGTCGATCCTCCCCGTCGCCCGTGCGCCGCCGACGCAGCAGAGCCCGAGCACCAGCGCCACGAGCGCGCAGGCCATCTCCCTCGAGCCGAACCCCATGTGTTACTGTTAACCTCTTTGTGATCGATCGTGATATAGATGATGAGAAGAGAAAGTGAAGGTGTAGTGATCGATCGGTGCGTGCCTCGCAGGGTTTATATAGGGCCAGTTTAGTTCTCAAAAATTTTCCCCTTCACCTATCACATCGAATCTTTGGACATATGCATGGAGCATTAAATGTGGACAAAAAGAAAAACCAATTGCACAGTTTAGCTATAAATCGCGAGACGAATCTTTTGAGACTAATTAGGCCATGATTAGCCATAAGTGCTACAGTAACCCACATGTGCTAATGACGGCTTAAGTAGGCTCAAAAGATTCGTCTCGCGGTTTCCAGGCGAGTTCTGAAATTAGTTTTTTCATTCGTGTCCGAAAACCCCTTCTGACATCCGGTCAAACGTCTGATGTGACACCCAAAAATTTCCTTTTCCCCAACTAAACACAGCCATAGACGATGTTTTTGCTGGGCGTGGGGTAGGAGTTAAGCGTGAGGGTGACGGAGGTGGTTGGGAGAGTGTGTACGAATTGATCGAGGAGGATGAGGGGTGTAGTACAGTGCAGGCTGCAGTGGCGAGGCGCATGTTCGTGTCAGGTTCGCGGGGGCGTGGGCTGGCGATGCGCGGAGGACAGCGGGGCGCCCTGTGCGCGCTCGACTGCTCGAGAGAGCGACTCACGTAGGATTTGGCGAGAAAACAAGTGAAGATGGGGAGACACGACAAAAGGTGGGGAGACTGAGAGTGGGACACGGTTTTGTGGAATTCTGGTCGTGTGCTTTTTTCTCGCGCTGCGCGCAGCAAGCGGAAAGCGAGTAACGCGACGCGCATCTGCGTTCCATTTCCGGCCACTGCGGCAACGGCAAGAGCCGTTAGGGCATCCACCGGCCTAAGATCAAGGTTAATAATATAGCCGATATGTTGGCTATAAGATTTTTTATAGTCTTCTCTCAATCTACCCATATAATAGATAACTCTTTACAATTAATATAGGGTCCACTTACCTCTCTCATAGAGTTTCTTGTGTCCGAGCCTGCTGTAAGTTTACAGCCCGTTTCTCCTCTCTCTTCTCTCCTCCACATCAGCATTTAGCCGGCTTATAGCCTACTATTATACTTGTTCTAACGGGGACATGCAGCGGCAACCCAACCCGGGGCGCCTGGCCGACCGGCCGGCCCCAACCACCGGATTGAAGACGGTGGCCGGATGCCAACTGGACGCACACCGGCACACCGCGCGCGTGATCTGCTCCCATGCGCGGCGAAACGCGTAGGAAATTGTTCAGGCGCTCCAGGCGCCAGGCGGTAGGTAATACGGAGTACTAGCGTTGTGTATTTTCTATTGGATTGTGGGCGATACGATCATGTGGTCTCAGGTCCAGGTTACGGTTGAGGTACGACATAGGAGTATCATCGATCGGTTGGAACTGACAAATTGGTGGCTTGGTTCTGTCCCGGTTCTGGCCGGCCAAATCACATTTGCACTGTTCTCCCAAAAAAAAATCACATTTGCACTGTCAGAGCAGGTACAATAGCAGGCTAAGCTATTAGCCAGCTCTAAACATATTTTAATGAGATAAACGATGAGAGAGAAGAGCAGCGGGCTACAGATCTGTAGCCAGCTGCAGCACAGACTCCAAGATACACTGTGTGTATGACATGTGGGACCATATATTAATAGTATAGCAAGCAACTATTATATGAATTGACTATTTGATTAGCTATAGATGAATTGGAGCTAGTAGTGGGCTGTCCTATTAGACTTGCTCTCATGGGATCATCAAAGCGTTCTTTTAGATGATCAACATACCGGATTTAGGTACAGAAGTTTTTTTCTTTTTGGTAGAGGAGGATAAGGCCATTCAGCGAGAAACGTATGTTGGGCCACTTACATCCTGCCACCGTCACTTGCCTGGACTGGAGTAACTGGGCTAACCGGCTCCCTTTATGGCCATTTTTAGGGCTCGGATTAAGGAATAAGTTCACCTAGCGTCCCTCAAATTGTACGCCAAGTCTGTTTGAGATGCCCTAACCGTAATATCATAAATGTATACTACTAAACTATGTAAGACTGTCCAAAAAAGGTCCCAAGACGTATAATATGCCTGGTTTCGTTGACATGGCATTCTAGTTAGCAATAAATAAATAAATAAATAAATATGTGAGGTCCACATGTACGTGAGAAGGAAAAAAATGATGTCCACATGCCAGCATCATCTTATTCCTTTCTCTTTTCTTTCTTCCTTTTTCTCTTTTTTCCTCTCTTTCGTTCTTCCCACATAGCGGCAGCAGCAGTGGGCGGCCAGAGCAGACAAAGCGGAGTATTAATTGTACACTTGATACACTTGATATTCTAAAATGATTTAAAATGTGTATATAGTGTACAGGATGGGATGGAATCAATTTTGAGAGTGTTGCAGGCCTAGTTGCAGATGCATGGTTACTAATAAATGAATAGTAATGACTTTTTTTAAACGTGCAAATTTATAATGGGATGGATCCAATTGACCCATATATCTATCGGTTGGAACTGACAATTGGAGGCTTGGTGATGTGCCGAATCTTGCCGGCCAAATCACATTTGGCTGTCACAGGATCAGCAAATCCGATTTTGAGGGCTGAAGGTGTGTGATAACCCGGTTTTTACAAGTCGAAGGGCGAGATCCAGATTTCCGGTATTACGGTTCAGCGAATTAAATCGACGGAAAAATAAAGGATGTGAAGTGGACTTATTCCTTGCGTGGCCTTCTCCACCACCTTTCTTCTTTGGGCCCAGCCTGCCGCGAAAGACCACATCTCTAGGTCAGGCCCAAATTTTGAGGATAAATACACACGGGAGAGGCTTCCCGTCTCCGAATTTTTTTTATTAAAAGTTTTACAAAAATAATTTTCCATTTTGAAAATTAACGGAAGTAGTCGCCTACCGCCCTCTGGGAGGACGATTTTTAAAAATCGCCCTCTCAGAGGGCGGCTAAAATGACGTGGCAGACGGCCGTTCGCTCTCGGGCGACGGCCGTCAACGAAATTTGCAGGCGGCCCCCTTGCCGCCCTCCGCTAGGACGATTTTATACTGTGCAGGGGGCCGCCTGCAAATGGGCGGCGAGGGGGGGCATGGAATTTTGCAGGCGGCCCCCTTGCCGCCCTGGGGAGGCCGATTTCGTACTGTGGGGGGGGCCGCCTGCAAATGGGCGGCGAGGGGGCATGGAATTTTGCAGGCGGCCCCCTTGCCGCCCTGGGGGAGGGCGATTTTTGCCTCCCCCCTATAAAGCCCAGTCCCTCCTCTGTGAAATTTCATTATATTCACTAAAAATCCAAAAAAAACGAAAGAGAGAGAGGGGAGGGCAGCAGAAGGGGAGCGGCGAAGCCCTGCTGGTTCGCTCAATTCATCACAGGTATGCTCCCATACATCTTTTGCATTTGTACTAATATGTTATGTTTGAGTATATATGTTGCGTTTTAGTTTTAGTTCCATATATTTTAGCACATCTGTAGCACACAGCACATATGTGTAGATCCAGAGCATAGAATATAATAGTATGAATTGAGACATAGACAGTAGTGTTAATTGTAAGATGTAGTTTAGTTTGATCTGGAGAATGTAACGTAATTTTAGAAATTTAGAGAACAATATTGTAGAGAATGTAACTTAGGGCGTAGTACAGAAATGCGAGGTTAACGCAGTTATTGTTTTCATCAGGCACAATGTCAAGTAAGGTCACATTTCAGATAGTTCACGGTGAAGGAAATATTAGATTTGGTCCAGATGGTGTTGATCTGTCAGATTTTGTAATGACATCTAAGGGCATCGATAGGCCTGCGGAGAGAACATTTCAGTCAATTTATAGTTGGTTGTTGAGAGGATTTAGAATAGACCAAGAAGTCTACACAATGTCAGTGTCAGTTGTAGTGAGTCGTGCAACAGAAGGTTATTTTTGGGAACTAATGCCGATGGACAGCACTGATGCTTGGAGACGGTATGTGGAAATGGCTTTTGAACGGTCATGGCCCCTCGTTATATTTGTGTCGGTACAAGAGAAAGATATAAATGTTTCAATGCAAACCGAAGATATAGAGGGTCCTATCAATGCAGGGGATGTTGTTGGACCATCGATGCAAAATGAGGAAAATCAACCAAGGGAGGAGCAGGCTATGGGCATGGCGGATGAGGGGGAGAGAGTTGGTATAATTGTTGATGAAATGGAGAGGGAAGATTCGTATAATGAGGAAGCGGACGACGACGCATCATCCGATGAGGAAGGTGATGTAATGGCCACTGATTGGGCAAATGAGGACTTCTCTGGACTTGTTATATCAGAGGGTGATCATGTACCCTGGGAGTATAAGGAGAACGAGGTAATTGAGGGTGCAAGGTATGCTCATAAGGATGAGATGAAGGAGGCGGTGAAGCATTGGGCAGTTTCCTTGCAGAGAGAGTTTAGGGTGGTCAAGTCAACAAATTATGTGTATGAAGTGAGGTGCATGAAGGAAGATTGTCCGTGGCGTGTCCATGCATATAAGGGTAAATGGAATGATTATTGGAAAGTTAGCATTGTGACCGAGCACAAGTGCTACTTACAAGGGGTGGAGAAGTATCACCGAAACATCACTTCAGCTTTTGTGGCAAGTGAGATGTACAGCAGTGTTGTTGGTAACATTGGCTTTGAACCAAAATCAATTATTAGGCACATCGAGAACAAATTCAAGTACACCATAAGCTATGCAAAGGCCTGGAGAGCCAAACAAAAGATCATTGAGATGAGGTATGGCACATTTGAAGCTTCTTATGATAATTTGCCTCGTTTATTAGCCACCATTGCCCAGAGGAATAATAATACGTACTATGACCTACATACATTTACATCGGTTGATGATCGAACAAAGAGTGTGCTGCAAAGAGCCTTTTTCTCATTGGGTGCTTGCATCAATGCTTTTGTGCATTGTCGACCTGTTCTATGCATAGATGGAACTTTTATGACAGGTAAATACCGAGGTCAGATTGACGGAGCGCGGGGCTCCTCACCGGGAGACCGCACAGGCCCCCCTTTGCCGGTTCGGCCGGGGGCTCAGGGTGAGATCCCAAGCTCTCTGT